AAAAAAAAGAATATAGTTAATTTGGTAGCAGACAAAAACACATACCTTAAGTTTGAAAATATTTAAATCAAAATTAGAAAGACTTTATTAAGAACTTAATAGTTGTATTAAACAACTTTGTTAAAAAGTAATTCCATTCAAAGACTACTGTATTACCTTAGAAATGGCTGATCATGTGAAAATCCTAGAAGCTTGAAGATAAATTTTCTGAAGATCTAAATGACCATTTGCATGATAGCTTACACTGTCAATTTTTAAATTTTAACTAACACACACATTTTAAAAGTGCTTAAAATACTCTGATGTAAGCACTTTTCAGTTTTCACAGAAGAACAAACAAAATAGCAAAATAATAAGATGCCATTCCACACTTGATAAAGAGCTTTTTCGTATTTGATGTCATCTTAACCCTTAGATAAAAAATTTTAACACAAATGATAATGTCTTCACAAATAAGCATCTAATTCACATAAACCTCTAATTCAATACCAGCAAGACATCGTAATTCCAGCATTTTCATTTTCAGAAATGAGGAAAATAGTGGCTCAAGAGATTGGGGAGGACATGTCGAATACTAACATGGCTGACGCAGGATTCCAGACTAGAACAAATCCATTTAACCATGCATCTATTCACTCCATATTTATTGAGATCTAAACCTTTGGTCATGTGCTTTTCCCTTCAAGATATGAAGCTGTCAGGAAGTCACTGCACAGCTGCTATGCAAACAACACGGAAGAGCAGCAGACAGGAGACTTCGCTTTTGCCTTCTCAAAGTGTCAAGAAAGGATCCTTGAGCAGATGATACTTAATTTTTCCTTCTAACAGTGCTGTTCAAATTTGAAGCACTTGTTAAAAATACATAGATTCTGATTCATAATACTTGGAGGTGAGGTTTATAATCCCCCCCCTTTTTTTTTGCAAGGGCCTCAAGTGAGTCTTATAAAGAGGAATCTTGAAGAACCCATCTTACTATGGTCTTGTCTCTCAAAACTGGTAAGACCTTGCAGAGTTCCCAGCCCCACTTGGGCAATCATCAGCTCAGAGAGCTGGGGAAGGTTGAGTGGTAGAGCCTGGACAAGATCTCACTATGCACCCTACTTGCCTTCACTCATTTCAGGTTTCTTCTCACTAGAGTTCTGCTTTAGGATTCCTTCTGATTAGAAATATCATACAAGAAGATACAATAATCACATTTAGTAAGTCTCTCTTCTAAAAACACATTTTACATTAGATGATCCTACAACTTTAACGTCCAGCTGTTTGTTGTCTGTACCTCATAACCTATGTGTGTGTACACCTTTCTTCCATGAAAAAGTCCACTTACTATTTATGGTAACTCCAAAGCCATTAAAAAAACCAATTTGGTATAAGATATTTAAGATAACGTTTCTGAATAATTTTCAAACAAATCTTAGAAGTAGGATGAATACAATTTTACTTTATGATTTTAAAATACAGCTTAAGGATTTACTGTATATGTGAATATATGTGTTATGATTTATTTTTCTTAAAATGAGTTTTATCTACTCCCATTTTTCCTTGATTCATTCAAAACATCACTTGAGGAGTGGGGAATTCCGGAAGTGGCTACTCACTGGTCAGCACTGAAGCTGTCTTCTACAAAGTAAGAAGGATTTTGTTTTCATGACTTCTTTGTTTTGCCATGGGGAGCACACAAAGGAATGTACTAGATTTGGACACTTTAAATCACATACTTTACCATCATAGCGTAGTTATATAAAATTGCTAGCATCTGCCTGACAAATCATTGGGAAAATAAAATCAGTTCTCTCATTTTACAAAAAAGGTAATTTTAGACAAATCTGTGTATTTTCACAGGTGATGATTCATACTTTTCTCCTTCATTAAATGGGCAGATTTTGGTAAATATTTATAGGATTACTATAAATTAGTATCTAAAGTTTGGAGAGTGTATGAAAGGTTTAATTTTTTAAAGATAATCTTTGGGAAGCTGGAGAGATGGCTCGGGGATTAAGAACACCGGCTGCTTTTGCAGAGAACTCAGGTTTGATAGTCAGCACCCACATGGCGGCTAACAACGCCTGTTCCAGGGGATTTAACACCTCTTCTGGCCTCCTCAGTTATTTCGGGACACTGGTGCAATTACACATATGCTGGCAATACACTCATACACATGAAATAAAAATAATAAATAAAATATTTATAAAAAATAAATAGATAAAGTCCAAAAAATCTTTGGAGATTTTTGAAATTTTTCCTACCAATTTTCCACATTCATCTAAATTTAAGTAGAAAAACAAAAATGTATTGAAACTTGATAGCATTAACTACCTGTGACTTGGCTTCTTGAAGCAGAGACTACATGTACTTTAGATTTTTGTTTTATCTACAAGTTATTAGAAATATACACATGCTCATCATTTCTTTCTCATTCCTCTCCCTCCTCCTATTTGTCCTCTCTCTCTCTCTATCCTCTTCTTTTCTTTCTCCCTTTCTTTTTACCTTTCTCCCATGAGAAAAAATTGTGAGGTTTATTTCAAACAAAATATAAATGGTAGATTTGGAAAAATTGGTTCAGGTTCAGGTCAGCAACCAATTACTAATATGTCGTGAATTTTATTTGTTATTTATTTATTCATTATGGTGTGTGTGTGTGTGTGTGTGTGTGTGTGTAAATGTGCATGGGTGTGGATGTGCCACAGCATGACTATGGAGATCAATTTCCCGCCTTCCACTTGGTTGAGGCGGCTTCTCTCTTGTGGCTTCTGCTGTTGTGGGTGAACTGGCCCATGAGCTTCCAGGCTGTTTTCCCGTCTTTGCCTTCCATTTTGCTGTAGGAATGCTGAAAGTACAGATATAACACTGCAACCAGTGTTTTTTTTTAAATGTGGATTCTGAGGATCTAGCTCCCAACTTGGTAGTCATGCTTCTGTGGCTACTGCTTCACTCTCTGAGCCATCTCCCAGGCCCTCAGTAATATACATTGTAAAGTATATTTTTGTCCTAGAGTTTTTTTTTTTTTTTTTTTTTTTTTTTTTTTGTGTGTGTGTGTGTACAGGTGTGGGGGCATTTGGAAGACAGGGGTCAATGTTAGGTCTTATTTTTTGAGACGGGATTTCTCAGTGGATCAGAAACTCATCAGCACAGCTAGTGAGGTGGTCAGTGAGCTGCATGAGAAACACCTGTCTCTATACCCACAGCGCTGGGATTACAGTCACACTCCTCCTCATCTTTTACTTGGGTGCAGGAATCCAAACTCCAGAACTTATACTCTACCAACCGAGCCATCTCCCATCCCCTGTGTTGAGTTTTTTTAAAGACCCACCATTGAAAAGCTCGAAGTAATTTGAATATAACATTCTAAATCCTTACTCTTCTAAATCCTCACTCTTCTAAGGGCTCTTTTCACTCTAAGATCTGTATTTTCTCTTGGTTGTTCTATTTTACATTTTCTTCCACATCACGGCACTGCCTTCCAACTTCAATCTTTCTGATTGAGGTGTGGATTACTTTGAAACTAGACATTTTGGTTTCCTGGATTTTACTTTTCAAATAGGTTTGGAAGTACTAATAACCCTGGAGATGTTAGCTGGCTTTCCAACTTTTAATCTTCAGTATAAACAATTTAGGCTAAGTTTTCCAAAATTAATATTAATTTAAACCATCTGTCCACCATCTGCTAATGTGAGATGCAAAACCAGAGTTTCTTTGTGATCCTTAATCAGACAGGAAAACACATATACATTTATAAAATGAATTCAAATTTCCTAACAAAGGAATTTTTCTGAAAAGTTATCGTGAAGGCTATAAATGCTTAGAGAGAATTAACTTTTACTTGGTGTGATTTTATGCAAATGAGTGCCAAGTGTCAACAGGCATGCTGCCTAGTTCACAAAGACCCTGATGTAGAAACAATATCTTTTGCTATATTTTCAAAAGAGAGGATGCTGTCAGCAGTGGCTGTAAAATATTGATTTAAAGAATATTAGAGTTAGCATTTGTTTAAAATGTAAATGTAAAAATGAGACCCATGTCTGCAAAACTACAATATAAAATCATCTTTCTGCCCATTCAATTTGAAATGGGGCCAACAATTTTAGTACCTTTCTTGCCAATTATTTCATTCCTTTTCCTTTTGTGGAGCTTGCTGGCATTTTAAAGATACTAATTCCAGCATTCCTTGGTCACCCATACACAATGATTTATCAGCTCAATGATCTTTTCTCTTTCTTCAGATTATTTCCTTAAGAAGGTAAAATTATATGATTCAAAATAGTTTATGAGAGAGTTTTTAGAAAATTCAGCTAATCACCTTGAAGTCTTACACAGAAGAAGTCATAATTGCTAAGTGTTTGCTGTATTCATGTTGGAGTTGTGTCACATAGTTGGAACCCTTGGGAATTCCGGTCAACTGTTTAGCTCTTGTTGGATAGGTGTGTTCCCTGAAAGAACTAGCACTGAACCCTAAGAAACTCTGCAGGCAGAGAGGGTCACCCTCCCACCCAATTGGTCAGCTTCAGTTGCATGAGGGGGCGGGTCTAAGGACAGAGGAAGCTGGGAAGGCGAGAAAGTCACCACCTTGGCTGGTGCTCAGGAAGCATGCATCTTGAAAGCACAGCTGAGATGTGGGGGAAAGAGCCCAGGGGTGTCCATGCCTTTGTAAATGCGGACAGCATAAACTTTGTTGGCAAGCCCAAATAAATTTCTTTATTCCCCAAACTGTAGCTTAGAGGGACATTGTGTGGGTTTTGTCCTTTGGTTGTAAAGACAGTGTGGGGCCTGGGAGCTAAGAAGGGCACAGTGCTCCTCACAGAGGGCCTGACAGCGGAGAGAGCAAGCAAGGGCCTCCCAGGAGAGAATCTGGCTTTACAGCTCTTTAGAACATAACTACTCAGTTGATAAAAATGAGAAAAGAATGATCTCAAAGAAATTTTCAATTGTTATAAGATTTTAAAAATTCTTTTTGACCTTTTTTGAGACAGGGTTTCCCTGCAGCCCCAGCTGGATTTTGCTGTATAGACCAGGCTGCCCTCGAGCTCACAGAGATCTGTCTGCCTCTGCCTCCCCAGTGCTAGGACTAAAGGTGTGTGCCACCAAGCACAGCTTATAAGTATAAGATTTTGATCTCTGTGTTTAGATAGTTCTTCAGCAGATTCTGTTTTGAATCTTGGGCTGTAAGCACTAGTTGAGGTGGGGATAGGTGTCAACTTTTATTTGAGGAGAGTGACCACCTTTGTGTACTCCCCTTCCTATTAGGGAGATTTTTCTAGCTGTTGGCAATGATGGGCAGTGGAGCTTCTCTGTGGTGACACTTAGGGAAAATGGTTCTGCTGCACTAACAAAAAACCAATTAGAAAACTATTTTCTGCGACAGGTCACGAATTTACATGTTTCTCATGGAAAGATGTACCTTTTAATTTCTTTATTAAGGTGACATTTGTGTCCCTTGGGACTTCAGGGAATGACATTCATCCCTCATGAACACACACTGAAGTCACGTGATGGGGCAAGGCTGGACGTCTCTGCCCTTCATTTTCTAAATGAGCGACTTTGCAAACTGATCATCAGAACTCTGCACTTGATCTCAGCCAAAAGGCCGAGAAGTGATCATCAGAACCCAGTATATGCAGAGGTATTCTTGATACCCATTTATACACACTCATCTGAGAACTGAAAGAGAAGAAGTAGTATCTATTCAGTTGTTTGCAGTTGTGGTTGTTTACTGTTAAGACAAAAATATAGTCATGGCTAAAGTATTTAAAGAGTAGATATTCAGTAAGTTTCTCAGAATTTAAGTTTAAGATATGTAAGCATAGATTAGTTTGTGTGTGTGTGTGTGTGTGTGTGTGTGTGTGTGTGTGTGTAGAGGCTAGAGATCAAACTCAGTTGTTTTTTGGGTGTCTTCCTCCACATTTTTTGAGACAGAGTTTCTCACTAGGTTTAGGGCTGATTTACTTTATCAACTGAGCTATCTCTCCAATTCTTATTTGTTTGTTTGTTTATAAATACTGGATCTTGATATATAGTTCTGGCTGGCCTTGAGCTTGAGACTCTATTGCCTCAATCTCCTAAATGCTCAAATTATATGTTCAGGCCGCTACACTTAGATTGGTACTTTTTAGAAAAGTGAGTAAAATCATTCAAACATTCTACAAGTTTCTCTTGAATCTTGTTAGGTAAATTTGTAAAATGTATTAAAAAGAGAAAGCTGAATAATTTTAATAAATTTTGTATTGGTCATTGGAACCAAGATTAAATTTTTTAGAGTGATTTTTTAAAGCAAGAATACAGCTTTAGTTTAGCCCCAAGCTCTCTTAGAGAAAAGCACTGGGTTCACCCTTTATCAACCTAATAGTATTTCATTAGCTCTAGGGTATTAGGAATTTTTCCCTTCAAACATTTATGGTGAATCAATCAGTTCAGAGCTCCTCCGGGACTAAATGTTGGTGATAGAGGTGCTAACAGAATAATGAAGGCAGACAGACCAGTGAATTAGCAGTAAATCTCTGATGCAGTAAATGCAATGACAGCAGTGATACTGGGAATAATTGGGCCCTGGTAACAAGGTTCCGAATGTTCGATGGATGATAAGTTCAGGAAAGGATCTGAGGAGGAAGTAATTTGTAACTATGACCCCAAAAGATGATTCTGTGTCAATCAGGTGAGAACAGAGTTCTGGCAGAAAGAAAAGTAAGAGAAGGCACAAAGGTACAAAGGCCATGATGTGTGGGGGGGAAGGTTCCAGCAGCATGGCATATTAATGACACACTAAGTACAAGGTCAGTAGTGACAAAGAGTGGGCCTGGAGATGTGTGGTGATTAGACTGGGATGGATGACTTGGGAAGACCAGATTATATGCTAAATTCATTTTCAAAAATCGAATTTTTCATTTCCATTTTTCTGAAATTAGAATTCATGTAGTTATTGTTAGAAGAGGCTGGCCAGCTGCCAGACAAAAGTAAGCTCTAATAAAACTAATACTGCCTGTTCATTGGAGAACTAACCACGTTGATGAGTTATTTGAGTTGGATTCCTAGTCTTTTGTTATACAAATATTACATTAAAATGATAGCACTGAAATTAAACAACTGAATGTATAATGGGTTACCTTTGATCCCCAGGAAAGTAACAATGGGCAGAAGACATTACTGGCCCTCTAGGAATAGAAGACAAACCCCTATGGCTAGTTGGAGAAAGATATAAGGGGTGGACATGAGAAAGAGACATGCAGAGATGTGGTCCAGATAAAGAAACTCAGTCAACAGATGAAACTAAAGTGCCAGTTTCAAAAATAGCTAGGGGCAACAGTGTGCTTCAGGAAGAAAGGAGAGATCAGCAAGTTACCAGGCAGAAATGGCTGGTAAGGCTAAGGCTGATGCGTGGATGACCAGGTATGACTGAAGGAGGGTACAGACTGGGTACCATGAGGGGAACTCCAGGAGATGAGTTACTGAAGACAATAAATGCAGGTGGCTTTCTAGAAATACTTAGGAGGTGGGAGGAGAGAAGGAGAAAGGGGGGAGGGAGAAATAATTGTAAACAATCAGAAAATCAGAATTCAACATAGTTATAAACTAATGGCAAAAACCCCAAAAGGAAAACATGGAGATACAGGTATGAGAAGAAGGAATTACGACACAGTAGGGAGAGCCGTGAAGATAGGGAGTGGACTCTCTTCTTCTAGAGCATTTTAGAGTTTGAACTGCAGTGAACATTTTATAGCATGGAAATATGTTGTAGAACAGTGTTTGCAGAGGCAGGGGAGGAAGAATGAGCATGTGGAGTCTTGAGATGAGTTGTGCAGATATTCTTTATGGTACTGTAATGGTGGGCACGTGACATAGGCATATATGAAAAGCGAAAGAGCAACACAAAAAGTAGAGCATAATGCAAGCGGTGGACTTTAAGTAATGTACCCACACTGGCACATTGGTGGTAATAATCATGCCATACTGAGATGTGATGCTATCAACTGGGACACTGTGATCAATGGAGAGCATGTGAGAGCTCTGAGCTATCTGTTGAAATTTCTCATACACTTAAAACTGCTATAAACATAGAAACATCAATGAAAATACATTCAAGCTCTTTGTAAAAAAACTCTTCTTAAATAATCTAAGCCAACCCAAAGCAAGGTGACAAGTGAGAAAGCAGAGTAGCTTCTTCAGAAAGAAGTATCAGTGGGCTCTGTACTCTGTGATATATGGTCACCACTACACTAAACAGGCATTCACAGATGATATAATGGTAGGTGAGTGTGTGACATTTTGCCTATGGAAAAATATAAAGATGTTAAACACCAAGCAAGAGATTCTGAAACATGTAAAGTACTCAGCAGCATTCCTTACCCCCAAGTAGAAGAGTGAAAATGTCACCATACTTTCTCTGAAGAGTTTTCATTAAATTTAATGGATCCTTTTGGAATTTCAGGGCCATACCAAGATAAGGAAGCCAACCTTTTATCAAGGGAGGCTCTCCAGGTCGCCTATAAGAGAAAAAAATATCAAAGAAAAATCAAATCATTTCTATTTTAACATACATGGATTATTTATCTCATCTATAAATAAATTGCTTGAATTGCATGGCTTCTTTCTGTTTCCCTAGTCAATGATTCTTATGAGATCACAAATATGTGTTTATGGAACTGCTCCAACATGTGTGGATATGGGGTAGGCCGTTCAGTTCACAACTTTTGTTGAACAGTTTTTGAGATATTTTGTGTTGTCAGGCTTTAATGGCCACTTGACAGCTAAGTCACAGCCTACAGTATTTATCACAGGTTCAATTTCCTATTATGAAATCACCAGGAAATCTCTAGGACACCAAATGAACTATTTAATAGAATTTATTCTGCAAAACTGTCAGTTTGGTACACTGCGGATAAAATGTTAACTCTCTAACATTTAGTCTTTTGAAAGTCATATTATAAATGCTACCTGTTATATCTAGTCAGAGCTAAACTTAGTTTTGACATCATTTGGTTGACTGTTAGGTACTTGGAAAGGTGCTATTGGCTAGGTTTAATAAAATCTAATTAAACTACTTGTAACATATTTCAGTTGTTGATAATTTCATTTCAAAGTAGTGTATGAACCCACTCAAACTAACTCCATCTCATTTTAAGCTCCAATTTATGCATAGGCATTTATATTTTCCATTAATATAAGGTATGAGTAAATTAAATTTTAACAAAACACTAAAGCTATAGGGGAATGACGTACTATGGGACTTGAAGGTTTTCAAAACACCTAAGTGCATTTAGCACATTAAATGGAGGTATGTTCTTTACAAAGAACAAGTTATTTTATTTACAGTGCATTTTTTTTTCTTTTTTACTGATTTGATCAGTGAGAGCTTAAATAGATGGAACCTTGGAGGCTTTGGTGTCATCTTTCATTTTAAGGATCTCAGCTTTTAGATGTCAAGACACATGCTTAGGGACTGGAGAGATGGCTCAGCAGTTAAGAACACTGGCTGCTCCTGCAGAGGACCCAGGTTCAGTTCCCAGCACCCACATAGCACCTAACAACCATGTGTAGCTCCAGTTCCAGGGGATCTGATGCCCTCTTCTGACTAGGGCATTGCAAAAATCCAGCATAGTAGATTGCTGCTTGAACTGATAAACATACTCAGTAACTGACTAGAATGAATTCTAGAGTTCTTGTGATCTGGGTGTGAGGTGTCAGACAGTTTAGCTGCCAAAGTAAAGCTCTTCGTTTTCAGAAGTCAATTAAACTGGAATTACATAATTAGAATAGAGAGAATAAATTTTTTGGAAAAATATATTTTATGGCTTCCCTACAGCCTGAGAAACTCTAATCTCCCTGACCCCACATCCTGCTCTCCTTCTAGCTTTGGGCGCAGTCCTATTTTTTCTCTCAGCATCCCAGATCTCTGGACTACCCTGTTAGTCCAGACTGCCCATTGAGTCCTGATCAGCTCGAAGTTTCAGTCTATTTTCTGAGAGCCTTCACAGGCTGTACCCACCCCCAACTCGCTTTTGCACTCCTAGATCAGACTTCTACTTGGCTCCCCCTCAACTTGTCTTGCATTCCCTAGACTAGCCTTCTTCCCTATAAGTCTGATCCCTCCCACTGGGCCTTGACTTCCCTACAGTCTGAGCAACTCCAATCTCCCTGACCCCACACCTTTTCCTTATAGCCTTGGGCACAGGCTGGGTTTTGTTCCTAGCATCCCAAATCTCTGGACTACTGCTTATCTCCATGTGTTGGTTAGCTCTCCAAATTGCACCATGCCCATCCCTCTACATTGGGATCATCTGCAGCCCTCTGCAGGGCTAGGCTTCCCTGCCCTTTAGTAGAGGCTCAAACTTTGTCAGACTGCCTGAGATCACCTGATTCTAGTCTCTGCCTAACAAGTTCCCCAAAGGAAAACTCAAATAATATGTCCCCATCTACACTCCTATAGAAGAGTTTTACAACGAGAATCCCCTAGAGATAACCCAGGACACAGAATTTAAAAGAACAATCAAACATGATCAAGGAATTCAACAAATTTAAAGAACACAGGAACAAATCAAAGAACTAAAAGAAGATAAACTTCTGACTGAATTCACAAAAGAGATACAAATACTGAAGAAAACTCAGGCTGAAATGAAGAAGGAAGTGAAAAACCCAGCAAACCAATTTGAAACAACAGGAGAAAGCCTCATTGATAGAATGAATGAAATGGAAAACAGAGTATCAACACTGGATGATAAAATTGAAGAACTGAATCACTCAAGCAAAGATTATGAAAAATTAAAGAAAAAAAAACAGGAGTGGAATATGCAGTAAATGTTGGAAAACATGAAACGATCAAATTTATGCATCATAGACATAGAGGAAGAAGAATCTCAGGATAATGGTATTCACCAGATCTTCAACAGGACTGGAGAAGAAAATTTCCCAAAATTAAAGAAAGACATCCCCATACAAATACAAGAAACACAAATACATAGAACACCAAGTAGACAGAATCAGAAAACTAACTCCCCACGGCATATCATAGGAAAAACACTAAACATACAGGACAAAGGGAGACTACTAAAAGCAAACAACAAATCACATGTAAAGGAAAACCCATCAGAAGAATTACAGTTAAATTTTCAGTGCAAATTATGAAAGTCAGAAGAGCTTGTACCAAAGTATTAACAGTTCGAAATGATCATAGATGCAACTCAGAATTACCCAGCAAAAATGTTCATTATAGTTGAAGAGGAAAGAAAAATCCTCCACAACATAAACAGACTGAAAGAATTCCTGTCGACAAAATCAGCCTTTCAGAGAATTCCTGACGCAATACAAAGAGCTGAAAATAGGAACAACTATATCCAAGGCACAACAGAAAGAAACCAAATGAATGTATAACTGTGGAAACACAAAGCTAGACAAAGAGTGCAAACAGAAATTAAAAGGACAGGAACCAACACACATCTTTCAATAATAACTTTAAATATCAATGGGCTAAACTTCCCAATCAAAATACACAGGCTAGTTTAGTGGATTAAGAAACAAAATCCATCTTTTTGCTGTCTGTAAGAAACCCATCTCACCTTCAAGGACAGGAACTACCTTAAGGTGAAAGGATGGGAAAGAATATTCCAAGAAAATGGCCCTAAGAAAGGAGCAAGAGTTACAATTCTAATATCTGACAAAATAGACTTCAAACTGAAACTAATCAGAAGAGACAAAGAGGGTCACTGCATTCTGGTCAAAGGAACAATTAACCAAGAAGATATTACAATCATGAAAATAGATGCCCCAAACTCTGGTGCACCCAACTTCATAAAAAACAGTACTACAAAACTTTAAGACACAGATTAATCCCAACTCACTTATAGTAAGGGACTTCAATATCCCACTGTCTCCATTAAACATGTCGACCAGGCAAAGAATAAACAAAGAAACATCTGAATTAAACAATACCAATACCATACATGAAATGGAACTAACAAACGTCTATTGAATATTCCACCCAACCACCAAAGATTATACTTTCTATTCAGCAACCCATAGAACTTTCTCCAAAATTGAGCACATACTGGGGCACAAAACAAACATCAACAAATACAAAAAATTAAATAATTCCATACATTCTATCAGACCACAGTGAAATAAAGCTTAAAATCAACATGGGGAGACACCCTAGTAACTACAAGACCTCATACAGATTAAATAACACACCCCTGAATGATGAGTGGGTCAAAGGAGAAACTAAGAAAGAAATAAATGTATTCCTAGAATTAAACGAAAAGGACAATACAACGCAACAAAACTTCTGGGACACATTAAAAAACAGTTCTAAGAGGGACATTTACAGCTGTAATTGCCTACACTAAAAATCAGAAAGAACACAAATAAATGACTTAACTTTGCAACTCAAGACTCTTGAAAGGCCACAACAAATGAAACCCAAACCCAGCAGACAAGAAGAAATCAGAGCAGAAATTAATGATACAGAAACAAAGAAAACAATACAAAGAATCAAAGAATCCAAGAGCTCGTTCTTTGAAAAGATAAACAAGATAAAGTCATCAGTATATTTCTTTAAGAGTTCAAGGGTTTCTCAGACAGTAGGCTTAAGTCTATATAAAAAGTTATTTAGACAATTATTTCTCATTGATGATTTTGTTCCTAACCAGAAAGTGCTGCTCAGATGTAAGACTTCAAATCTTGGTCTCCAATACTGTAGTGCCCACCTGTAGCTAAGGGAGACAACCAGCTATTGTTCTAAAATGATGGATACATTTGTTTCCACCCACTCTCATCTAGAAGCCTTTCAGAGGGAACTAACACTGATTCTAACCACTCCAACAGCTATCAAAACA